GAACTGGATTATGTCCTACTGATTACAGATAAAATAAAACACACTCCGTGGTTTGCAAAACCTTTATTTTGTTTGTAAAAATAATTTTAGGGATTTCTTTGGTATAAGGCCACATTAAAAGCGGTCCATATTAAAAAACTACATCACACAGAGAGGTCAAACCTGGACAGAATTAATACATACTAAAAAAAGAATTTAAAAGCCCAGTTTCGGATTTGTGAAATCTTTATCCAATTTGTGAAAACCCAAGAAGGACTGGTTGTTTGGCATTTTTAATGTGAAACACTAATTTCTGTTGTACCTCATAAAATAATGTTATAAATAATGTTTATAATCTTTTTTGTGAAATTGCCACTATGCTGCAACACAGAACGCTGACAGTGTACCTTTAGCAACTCACCTGTTTCAGCTGTTACAAGAATATTAATTACTATGAATTTATGCCAAGGGACTGGCATGATGGATGGATGGTTGGTTGGATGGATGGATGAGTTAATACGTTTAGACAATGGAATTTCGAATACAGGCTGAAAATGCAAATATGTTCCACACTTTTTAAGACATATAATAAAATGTAAAACAGAGACACAGGACAGACAACATTGCATATACTTGCCTAGCGGCAATTTGGAGTTGTCAGTCAACCTAGCATTCCTGTTTTTGGACTGTGGGAGGAAGCTGAGTATACCCAGAGAGAACCCATGCATGCACGGAGAGAACATGCAAACTCCATGCAGAAAGACCCCAACTACTGGGATTTGAAACCAGGATCTTTATGCTGCAAGGCAACAGTGCTAACAAATGGGCCCCTGTGCAGCCCCAATGTTATCAAACAATTAAATAACTGATTGATTACTTTATTAACATCTGAGTTTTAATATTTTGAATCAGAAAACAAATAAGAACCCACAATGTGTGGAAACACAAAGGATGAAGCAGTGGAGGAAATACTGAGATGGAGGAAAAGGAATATGAAAACTAGCATTGCAAAAAGGAATCAAAACACAAACAAAAAACTGGCAATTACAATGAAGAAAAATACAATCACCAGACTATTTTCTGTTTGCTGCTGTTGTGAGAGAGGAGCTTCTAACGTAAAAAAGGATGGATATGGAAACACTGGTGGGAATATCTGTGGTCTATGTTAAAATTCAGGCATTTATGAGAGGCCCCTGATGGTTTTGTGGCCCTAAGCAGTTCGCTGTTGCTTTGGGCCAGCTCTGTGTCCGTGTGATTTGGTTTTTAGCATGGATCCCCTTCTGATGTGGATTTATGCCAAAAAAAATCCCTAAAATCACCCTTTTCTGTTTCTCCAAATAGAGTAAAATAGAGAAAATCACAAACTGTTTTATTTTATCTATAATTAATTTATGGACAAAGCCAGCAGCACTGTGAGGATCATGTTCTTTGATTTCTCCAGTGCATTTAACGCAAATTAACCTGATTTGCTTTGTCAGAAACTCCAGAAGTTTCAGGTGGAGGCTTCAACAATCTCCTGGATCAAAGACTACCTGACAAACAGACCACAGTTTGTGAGACTGAAGGGTTGTGTGTCCAACCAGGTAGTCAGCAGCACAGGAGAACCCCAGGGGACTGTACTCTCACCATTCGTTTTCACTCTGTACACCTCAGACTTCCAGTACAAGACAGACTCCTGTCATCTGCAGAAATACTTAAGGATTGCAGTCGTGTGGTGGATCAGAGATGGAGAAGAAGATGAGTCGAGAAGTTTGTGGACCGCTTTGTGGCATGGTGTGGAAACAATCATCTCATCTTGAACGTGAATAAAACAAAGAAAATGATTGTAGATGTTAAGAGAAACAGGAATAAGTCAAAAACTATTTCCATCATGGGAGAAGACGTGGAAGTGGTGGAGGAGTATAAAAACCCCGTTGTCATATGGACCACAGACTGGAGGGGAGATGCAACTGTGAAGCCGTCTACAAGAAGGGACAGAGCAGACTGTACTTCTTGAGGAAGCGTAAGACCTTCAGTGTTTGCAGCAAGATGCTGCATATCTTCTATAGGTCTGTTGTGGAGAGTGTGTTCTATTCTGCCATCATCTGCTGGGGTAGCAGCATCAGAGCCAAAGACTTAAAAAAGCTCAACAAGCTGATAAAGAAGGCTGGCTCTGTTCTGGGGACTCCTCTGGAACCTCTGGAGATCATTGTGCAAAGAAGGATTCTTCATAAAATGAACATTATGGAGAACCCTGAGCATCCCTTCCCCAGGTTCACCCAGATTTGGTTGTCATCAGCACATATGCCTGATTCCATGGGAAACCCTTGGCCAATCTGAACCTCAACAAAGTGTCCCATGTAACCCCTGGTGTCAGGTTTGTTGCCAATGCCTTACACTTTTGCTATTTCCCCTTTTTTCATTCTGCTTAGTAGTTTGTTGGATTGCTTTAGCTTGGTAAAGAGTTTGTTGATTGAAATATGTTTGACTTTGAGTTCACTTATTTTTGTTAATAAATTCTTGTATTTTAAGAAATTGTGTGAATTCATTCCAGGTGTGTGCAGAGTTTTGCTGTTCAGTAACGTCAGAGCTTGGCTCACACCTTTCTGTTTTGTCCTAATACCATCACCTTACTGGGCTGGTATTCACAGGACAACCCTTAACAGACCGAAATATTATTTGATAAAATATTAAAGTATTAATATTAAATATTAAATAATATTTTCAGATTCATAGTCACAACAGGTTTTTCTACTTGGCATGATTCAGTTTATCTTGGTGAGGTCCATTTTGAGTCCACCAATCAGGTTTACACTTTAATTACATGGAAATAAGTGTCTTAGTCATTCTTCACATTAAGTCCATTGTTAAGGACCGATTTATTGATTTTGTAAAAGCAGATACAGATTAAGCTTATGGCATGGAAACGTTCAAACCTTATCACCAAAGAAATATCAACAAAATACCAGTTGGAACATGTAAAATGCTGGTCAGCAAATATAAGAAGGGTTTAAATGCTGTAATTATGATAACGATTTTTCCATAGACCATTGATTAGAGCATAAATCTTTTTTGATATCTCTTTTTCATTTTCTCAGGTAAAACATCAATTCATCCATCCATCATCTATACTGACTTGCGGGGTGTTTGTACCTATCTTCAGGGGTCATTTTCAAAAGTGATTTTCCTTTTCTATTGTATTGTTATCTAAAAATGGTTTGGTTAAATGAAAATCATAAAAATCTAAATCTGCCACGGGTATGAATAATTTTGTGCTTAACTCTATGTATGTCAGTGTTGGACCCAGGAGAGTTCTGTTGGCTTTCTCTCAACAATAATTTTCTCTGCTTCACCGTATGATTGGAAATGTGTCTTTATTATTCAATCAAACAAAAAGTAATTTCAACCAAAAAAAAAAATTTGTAATCAAAACTTTATACACATTTCATATGAGTATAAAGTTTTGATTACAAAACTTTATACTCATATGAAAGTAAGTAATCAAAACTTTATACACATTTCATATGAATCTCAAACTTTTGGTTTTGAAGCTCAGATTTTTGGTTGAAGCTCCCTTTTTTTGGTTGAACTAAACACATTTCCAGTGCTGAGAACATGAACATCCGGGGCACGGCCTAAGGAAGAACGATATAAGACATCTCCCTATTGGTTGGTGCTGACTGAAGCAAAAGCCTCTAATCGCACTGTAGGTCAAGTTGTTCTGTGATGCATTTATGTCTGCTAACTATCTAGCAGCGATGCTAAAGCTGGAAAACACTGTAATGGTGCAGCACGGTGTGTCATTGGGACCACGTTAATTTACACCTCAGATGATAAGGTGACTGTAATAGCAGATTATATTTATTTTTCTGAAACACATAATCAATGTGGTGAAATATGTGAGTTTTAAATATATATATTTTCTTCCTGATGCAGAATGGAAAACCAAAGTTGCAGATCACGGGCTGAGGTAGGATTTTGACACAGTTTTTTCTCATTTTGATCAGTTTATGCATGAATTATTCTGTCAATTTGTTTTATGCTTTTAGCTATGTGATTACACATTACAGCAATTTCTGGCATTACTCAACAGAACAGTTCCTTGAGCTCCTAGAGAGGGACAGAACTCAAGGGTGGAGAAACCTACAAAGCTGAAGTTGGCTTCCGATTTGGGAATTTTTCTTTACCTTGAACATCTTTAATTTGCTCTAGTTTAAACACTACAATTCTTTGACTCTTGAAACCTGGAATAGATTATTTTACAGAATCTTTTAAACCCTGTTTATGATTTGTGAGAGCTTCATTTGATTTGTGCAAGTTCAATAAAAGGCCATGTTAGTGCTTTATTTGCTTCTGGCCATATTAGAATTGGTCTAGCTCAAAAACTACAATTGTGAAACTCTCCAAACCTGAACTAGATTGTTCTAAATTAATAGCAGACATAGAGCAGAATTTAAAGAAAACTCAAAAACAGGTTAAACATGTGTGTAGGTTGGGGTCTCTAAAATAAAATAAAAAATGCACAGCTTTAAACATGCAAACATTTTTATTAATATGGTGGTACATTGTTAAACAGATTTTGTTGTATTTCACATGTGCCCTCATCTCTCAATTTCTGCTCTCAGTTGCATTAAAAGCTCCTTTGTCACTGCAAAAAAGGCATTCTGCTATAAATTATGAATAATCCTCCTCCATCTGGCTACTCTGTGTGTTCCACTGCTTCAGACCTGGTTAGTTTTATGATCTTTTCCAAAGCAGTTATCGATCCTTGAATTACATCACAAATTAAATGTTGAAAAACATTTTGCAGATATTGTAATATTTACTGTGCATTGTATTGATTGAAAACATGTGATTTTACATTTCACTAAAATGTTTCATGATCTCAGGCCCTGCTTCTCCTCACCTACTTCTACCCTGAGCTATCAGCTGACAGGCGCCCCAGAACTTCTAAAATACAGCTTTCTTTTTTTTTGTGGCACTAGTGACCTTTATTGTTTGGTAACTAGGCAGGAAGGCAGAAAGAGAAGGGGAAGACATGCTGTACATGACTGGGAACTGAACCCAGGATATCTGCATCCAGGACTATAGCCTCCTCATATGGTGGACCTGCTCTACCACTGAGCCACTCTGCTGGTCGATGCTACTGATGATCTCTTCTGTTAATTCAAGTTATGACATTTATGTAGATCTGTTTTCCCTAAAACTAAACGGGCTGTCTGACATTAAATTATTATTTTCCATGACATGTATGGTCTAATCTTTGAATGAACAGCTTTTCTAGTATTTTGGAGAATTGGTAATGAGGGAGTATGACTACAGATGAAGGTCAATGGTTTTGTGATAAAATCAATGATAGTCTTCACTAGTGTCATTACATTGCAGTATACAGATGTATTTTTCTTACATTTAACATCCACAATTGTATTAGTATCTAGAATTTGTAGATACATTAAGAGTTGTAAATTTATCAACCCAGTTATCCTCATTTTGTTGCAAGTTATTCATTTTACCAGCAAGTTGGTTTCCTAGACCTACAAAAAAAATCACGAAATCCTTTAACCATATCATAGATGTTCTTTATAATCCTATCATTAACAAAATAATCAGGATACTCTATTTTAGGTGAACTTTGGTATTTCCGTGTTTAGGGAAAATGATCAGTATGATCATTTTGTTCAATTAAGGTTCGGAGTGCACAGCCCTGCTGATACATTCTCCCATCTGAGTTATTGCTCTCCTTGCCCAGCCTCGAGGTTTAGTTGGATGGCCATGTCTTGGTAGGTTTACAGTTGTGTCATACTCTTTTAATGGTCAGATGATTAAGTGAACAGAGCTCTGTGAGGACCTTGGGATATTGCTTTAGAACTTAACTTTGTTTTAAACTTCTCCACAACATTCTCCCTGCCCTATCTGCTGTGTTCCTTGGTCTTTATCATACTGTCTGTTCACTAATGTTGTTTAACAAACCTCTGAGGCCTCCACAGAACAGCTGCATTTTTACTTAGATTAAACTAGACATTGGTGGACTTTACTGATTGAGCAACTTTGAAAGCAGTTGGTTGCCCTAGATTTTGTTCAAAGGCATAAGGGACTGAATACAGATACATCTAATACTTTTCAAATTTTTATTTGTAAAAGCATTTGAAAACCCTTTATCACTACCCTTCTACTTCAAAATTTTGCTCTGCTTTGTGTTAGCCAATCACACAAAATCCCAGATAACACATTTGTGTCTGTTTCTATGTTGTGATCACGTTAGTTATTCATCTGACTGAACCTATGGGGAAAATAATGTTTATGGTTAGACTGAGGACTGGACGGACGGGTGAACAGACGGACGGTCGATGGATAGGTGGATGGATGGACAGACGGCTTGATGGACGGATGTATGTGTCTACACAGACACCTTTCATGGCAGGGAGAATGGAGTTTTGACGAAAATTCAGACTGAAAGACTCACCTCCATCATCTGCTCCGGCCAATGACTTCTCTGTGCATCTTTCATCCATCCAATCAGTGTCAAATCCGCATGTCTCTTCAGACAACCACCCCCTGACGCTCCACTTTTAAGGACCTTCGGCCATGGCTCTTCTCGCCCGTCAGCTGAGCTCGTCCCTCCTCCGCCCCACCTCCACCATCTTCCTTCCCATCTCCTCCCGGCTTTCTCACTTCCCCTGGCCTCCAATCCACCACCGGTTTCGGGTCCCGGGGGAAGACATCTTTAATTCTAAGCCTAAAATGTACATCTAAGCTCACGCCATTCTCAGCATTCATGTCTTCTTCTGGGGTCCGAGCGCCAAAGAAATAACCAAGTAATCATGTATCAATAAACTTGTCGAATTGCCATCTTTGTGAGTCTTTTCAGGTTGAAATACCTCTTTAAAACTAGGGTAATATAATCATGATTGCCTTGTTATATATAGCCTTTGTAAAAGAGCATAGTACTTATTTTAGAACAAAATCCCTTTTGTCTGATGTGACCTAAAGAATAGCATGCTCAGTGTTTGCATATTTTTCATATCCTTAGGTGCAATTTTTTGCATTAATTTAGATTTTCTCTTTGTTTACTTGCCTTCGGGATAACATGGCACAAACTTTGAATATTTAATCAGATCCTGGGCACATGGACACACTAACAAAAACAATCCCAGAGCCCAGGGGGAAGGTCAATATAGGATATGAGAAATCCTAGAAGAGCCGGAGTCAAGGGTGATTCAGGAATCAGGATGAGGATTTTCGTTATTGTCTTAGTGGACTCTTAATATAGTTTGTATGTCTTCTTTTAGAACATGAGATTTAGCTTTTTTTAATGTATTTTTTACTGTTACCAAAAGCATTACTGTGTGTTCAGGTCCTGGTTTGCTAATCATTACACCAGCTTTTGTCAGGATCTGTCTCCGTTAGGTTTTTGTGTTTACTTTTTGTCTAGCCAGGTGCTTTTCTGTTCATTCATGTTTATTAAATTCCTTCTTTTTAGTTTTTGTTATTTCGTGTGTTTAGTTTTGTTGCTTCCTGGGTTCTTGTGTTAGATGTGTTGTTATATTCTGATAGATCTGGTTTCCTCTTGTGTATGTTAAGTCTAGTCATTGTTTTCTTGTGTTCTGGTCACCTCCCTGCTGTCCATGCTCATCAGGTTAATTAGTCATTCTCCCTCTGTATTGTTTAGGTTCCCTGGTCCTCAGCTGTCTCACATTCTTCTGATTAGCTCCTCTTCCAGTTCATTGGTTCACACTCCTCTTCCCTCAGTATTTAAGTTTTCTGGTTTTCATTGTTCACCACCGGATTCTTTGCTACTGCATTTGCTCTGCTCACATCCTTAGTTCTACTTCTCTGTGTTTTGCCTGTTATTCTGCCTGCGTTCCCCGTGTAAGTGTTTATGTTTATCATTTATTGTCAACTCTGCATGCGGCTCCTGTCCTCCTGCTTGCACTTTGGTCCTGCTCAACCAACCCGCCCCCCCAAACCCGAATACCAAACAGCTTCTTAAAGAGTATTGAAAGAACTTCCCAAAGGTTCATTGAGAGACGGCCAGAGATTAATATTTCAGTCATTACAGCAGAGGGCGGCTACTTTTAATATATTTAAAGTTATTTTACAATTTTTTGTTTGTTACATAATTACATATGTGTTCATTCACTTAAGATTCTTCAGAGCACAATATTCGTCAGTCTTTATTTAAGAACAGATGATCAGAAGAAAACTTTTTTTTAATGTGTCCTGTTCAATTCAATTCAGTTTATTTATATAGCGCCAATTCACAACACATGTCGTCTCAAGGCACTTCACAAAAGTCAGGTACATGCATTACAATTAATCCGAATCATTGAACAGTGCAGTGAGATTCTGTTATTTATTCAAATTGGATAAAAAGTTTGTCTATCTAAGGAAACCCAGCAGATTGCATCCAGTCAGTGACTTGCAGCATTCACTCCTCCCGGATGAGCATGTAGAGACAGTGGACAGTCACTGACGTTGACTTTGCAGCAATCCCTCATACTGAGCATGCATGTAGCGACAGTGGAGAGGAAAAACTCCCTTTTAACAGGAAGAAACCTCCAGCAGAACCAGGCTCAGTGTGAGCGGCCATCTGCCACGACCGACTGGGGGTTAGAGAGAACAGAGCAGAGACACAAAGAGAACACAGAAGCACTGATCCAGGAGTACTTTCTATGGGAAGGAAAAGGTAAATGTTAATGGATGTAGCTCCTTTAGTCGTTTCAACTAGAAAGAAGGAACAGATAAACTCTGAGCCAGTTTTCAAGTTTAGAGTCTGAAGAGAGCACAGAGAGTTAGTCACAGTAAAAGCTCAGTCAGTAGCTATGTCTAGGAGAGAGAAAGGGTTAAACACTGAAAGACAGGGCCATGTGGATCATCGGTAGAGGGTGAGCACTAAGTTGTTGCCAGCAGAAGCTTGGAGGATTCCCCTCTCCAGAAAGGTGTTACAGGTAGACACAGAGTCAGGCCAGGTGTAGCTTCTAGGAAGAGAAAAGAGAGAGAACAAAGTTAAAAGCTGAAATAACAGCAAATAATGCAAAATTGAAGAGTAGTGTGAGAAAGTAGCGAAGAGGGTGAAAGTGGTCATTATTTCCTCCAGCAGCCTAAGCCTATAGCAGCATAACTACAGAGATAGCTCAGGATAACCTAAGCCACTCTAACTATAAGTTTTATCAAAAAGGAAAGTTTTAAGCCTAGCCTTAAAGGTTGACAGTTTGTCCATCTAGAGCCCACTGATGGCCATTGTTATACTAAAAACCACAACGATTGGGATACCTCTCTCTGTCAGATTGACCATAACCATTGGAAAAGAGAGGGGGTCATACAGGTAGCAGAAATGGAGGGTGTGTTTGCACCTCAACCATAACTGAGCCGGTTTAGGGTAAACCTGACTCCCCCTTACTCCATCCAACAAGGGGAGAAGAAGATGGAGGTAAATATCAGGATAATCAGGATAACCTAAGCCACTCTAACTATAAGCTTTATCAAAAAGGAAAGTTTTAAGCCTAGCCTTAAAAGTAGACAGGGTGTCCGCCTCACGGACTAAAACTGGGAGCTGGTTCCACAGGAGAGGAGCCTGATAACTAAAGGATCTGCCTCCCATTCTACTTCTAGAGACTCTAGGAACCACCAGTAAACCTGCAGTCTGAGAACGAAGTGCTCTGTTAGGAACATATGGAACAATCAGATCTCTGATGTATGATGGAGCTAAATCATTAAGGGCTTTATATGTGAGGAGGAGAATTTTAAATTCTATTCTGGATTTGACAGGGAGCCAATGAAGGGAAGCTAAAGTAGGGGAAATATGATCTCTCTTTTTAATTTTCATCAGAACTCTTGCTGCAGCATTTTGAATCAGCTGAAGGCTTTTAACTGCATTTTGTGGACATCCTGATAGTAAAGAATTACAATAGTCCAGCCTTGAAGTAACAAATGCATGGACTAGTTTTTCAGCGTCACTCCTGGACAGGATATTTCTAATTTTGGCAATGTTCCGGAGATGAAAGAAGGAAATCCTGGAAACCTGTTTAATATGGGATTTAAATGACATGTCCTGGTCAAAAATAACACCAAGGTTTTTTACTTTATTATCGGAGGTCAATTTAATGCCATCCAGGTTAAGTGATTGACTAA